AAGACAGCACAGAATGGAGCTCAACAGTTATCTCGTACCGGTGCCTCCCTCACCAGCGGAAATGAAATGGGAAAGAACCTGGAAGGAGTGGTAGAAAATGAAGAGTCCTTAATGCCAATGATCATGCCGAACAGCTTCATAGACGCCAAGGTACTTTCGGCTGTCGGACTCAGTGCTGCGTGCTCCTTCCCACTCTTCATCTTCTCTGTATGCGTAAAATCTTCTTACCAAAAAATGATCCGTTGAATTTCTTACATCCATACTCCATGTGATGAAATGGGAAACCATTTCACCGAGGTCCTTCCTAGCATAAAATGGGGAGAAGAAGATAGGGATAGGTAAAAGAATAAAAGATGAAAGAGATAAAGAAAAAAATGAAAAAGTAGCATAAATTCTCTTAGATGGGATTATGTGGAGCTGAGATCTCTTAAATAAGGACACAAAGGTCATTAGTCCATATTGACTATAATTGGGGCTGTCCTCTATATATTAGATGGATAAATTTTTATTAATCAATTATATACTTTAGTTGATTTTCGAACTGAAGGGAGCATCAGAACATTCCAGATATGAACGACATATTTTTAAAATAAGGAGTATCTAAATGGGCATCTCGAGATCCTTCCCTTTATGGCCTTAGGAAGTTGGACATAGTAAAGAGATGTCAGTGGAGGAGGTTACTTCATGTCCTTCCCCGCTATATGTAATAATAGTACAGTGATAAGCGTTGTGAACACCAACTGAAAATTATTTTTAGTCACATTGCAACATTGGATAGCATGCATTATTATAATGGCTCTCATAACCAATGTGCTGTAAATCAGGTATCCACAACCCTGCAGCCTATTTTTGTATGGCCATCCCTGAGCTACATATGTTTTTTACATTTTTAAAGGGTATTTTGGGGGAAAATAAAAAGGAGAAAGAAGGGAAAAATGCAACAGAGGCCATATGTAGTCTGCAGCATGTAATATTTACTATCTGCCCCTTTACAGAAAAAACTTGCTAAATCCTGGTATAAATTCTTCTTCCCCAAAATATAGAATACCAAAAATATAACAAAATTTCAGGTAGTTTTCATATTAAATTTTACACAATTATATTCAACATACGTAATTTACTTGTATCTAGCACGGTGCTATATACTGTGTATATCTGGATAAATAATAATGAATTGATTTTTGCTACTCTTGTCTTCTGTATTTTTTGTTTGCAGCTTAATTTAGCTTTTATTTTCTGATGCAAATGCAAGCCATTTAATTTATTTCAAATTAATCTAGAACATTAGAACCTAAAACTTTTAAATAAGCACAAAAGGCACTAGAATACACTGTTGTTCTGTTATTAAGCACTTGGAACTAGACATGGGAAAGGACTAAGGAGACACGCAGTGGGGAGGAAGACGTGGGAAAAAAGAGGGAGCATCTGCATTCCCGTGAAAGGGGGCAGAGCAGAGTGGAGGCCTGAAGTGAGGCGGAGAAGCCAGCTTGAAGGACAGGTCTCTGAATTCCCATGGGTCAGCTTAAGAAATGATCCCCCGTCTACTACTGTTTTGTCGAGCACATGTGGGTCCATTTTTCTCTTCCCAAATCCTTTTCAAATTTTTCAAACATGTGGAAAGGTTGAAAAAATATAATGAATGCACAAATAATCATCAGTATCTTGTCATTTCTCTCTCTCTCTCTTTGTATTTTTGTTTCCTCTGTCATTTGAGAAGAAGTTTTGGAATCATTACACTTCAGCCCACATACTTCAGCATATATATCTCTCAGAAATAAACCAATTTTATCTTTTTGATCACTTACAAATATCCTGTATTTGTTGTGCGCTGCTTGTGTAAAAAAAGAAATAATAATGTCTATAATCATTTTTTCTTTTAACATGTAAAAATGTTGTGTACTACTTGTAATAAACTGAAATCTGTAATATGCACATTTTTCCCTTTTATATCTCCAGGGAGGAACTGACCTGATAATTAATAGCTATGGTCCTATTATTAAAAGCAACCCTAAGAAAAAATGGCTTTTTTTCCAAGATTCTAAGAAGATAAAAGCTGAGCAGGTAACTCACCTACCTGAATGGAAGAATCTTTGGCCACCCATGGTATATGAAATGATAATTTTAAAAAGAGGAAAATGAAAATGAAGGCTTTTAACTTCTGTGTTCTTTCTGGATGTAATTTTATGAATTTGGGACATGACTCTATGGAAAGCCATGGGGAATGATCACTGAAGTGACAGCTGGAATAGTAATCAGAGCTGTGGTTCTCAGTGGGGACTGGGGGGCAATGGAGAAAGGGGTGGGGCACGTCTCTTGCCCCAGTTATTCTGATGTGCTCTCACTCCTTGCGGAACCACTGGCCCAGACAGTTCCTTCATGATGACCTTTCTTTCACCCAGGTAACTTGAACAGTTTGCTGTCTCAGAATACACTGAATCTGTAAAACCAGGTTTATTATTTTTTAAGAGTGCTCTGGTATGGCTGATGGTGTTTTATGTATTTTTGCCTAGCCTCAAAGAAGATTTACTCAAGCAGTCTGCTTTTACCAGCCAGGCACCACGGTATTGATCAGTGATGAAGACTCCCCCAGCTCCCCAGGTCAGACAGCCAGCTTCCCAAGACCCTTTGGTGGTGCGACTGATACTGAGCATTCAGCAAATAGTGAAGGCAGCCACGAAACTGGGGATTCCGGAAGGTTCTCCCACGAATCCAATGATGAAATACACCTGTCCTCAGTTATAAGTACCACGCCCCTGATCCCCAGTTCCTTCACTGGCAGTGATTCAGGTGGGGAGCCCTCGATGAGGAAGTGTGAAGACCCTGCAGTGCCGTCAGATGCCGAGCAAACTCTCCCTTCAGTGCCGCAGCCACCACCTGCCATGCTCTGCTTTGATAAAAAGGATTTTCCAATCTAGACAGCCATGTCCAGGTATTCTCACCTTTAAGTCTGTTCGAAGGACAATGAACAGGGAGCCAAAGCCTTTTGTGAAAATCTTGATGTCTTTTTGGGTATTTCACCTTTTTTGAATGTGGTTTTTTTTTTTATTTTTAAGCTCACATATTTTGAATGTTTCATTGTCAGCAATGTGAAAAGACAGTCAAGATACTTGACTGGATTATAAAATATATCACTGGAGCAAAGGGATGACTTTTGAAAGCCCCTTTGCTGACTATCTACCTCAGTTTGCCAAGTGGCAAACTCAGAAGATAACTTTGTTACCTCGTTTGTTGTGATAGTTGATCTCCGCTATGTAACCAATGATACTTCCTAGTAGCATTTTGTTTTCATTGCTGTACGTGTAATGTGTGTGATCAAAGGAGTCATATAGGTAGATGAGTAAGAATGTTTATCCGAAGCTCTGATTTAAAAACAACAACAACAACAAAAAACTATGATACCTACATGATTTAGATAATTTAGCACCTCTGGCTGTGCAGACTGAAACCACTGAGAAGAGAAAAGTTGGGACTGTTGATTTTACTGAATGACCAAAACAAAAAAGTCTATCTCTTTTGAGAACAGAACTGTTCATTAGCGTACAGGGAATGCTGTTGCTTCAAGGGCCTTTACACAGTGGGCATGAGAGCCTGAATGCTTTCTCTGCTGTAACCCAGACCTCAGCCTGTCTCGAAGCCGTGCCTTTCTACCTGCCCCTTTGCCTGACAGTTGGCCAAAGGCTGCACTGTCTAGTTTGCAAAGCATCCTCAACCTTTCCAGAATTAGCTGCAAAACTCCTTGCAGGAAACAGATTTTTAAAGAGAATAGGTTAGGGCTTTTTTTTTTCCCCCCTTAAATCTCAGCTTGGCTTAAAGGGGTAAAGAAATTTCATAAAATATTAAGAATGAAGATAAGTGCAACAGTAGACAGTAAAATAAACTTGAGGTTGTCATGGTAACAGTGCCTTTCATTATATATTATGAAGTTCTTTGCCTTATACTTTTTTAATATTCATGAAGTTTTTCAGGACAAGAGTACAAAAAGTTGCCTTAAGAATTTCTTGGATTTTTATCAATAACTGTTTTTATGTACAGAATTTTATCAAAGCATTTTGGTTTATTTTTGTGCAGGTTTTGTTTAGGGATAAGTATTCAGAGCTCCACCAGCTTGCTTGTGTTTTCTTGAATTCTTAAGAGAATTTGGTACTCTGTTTAATCTTCCTTCAGCATCAGTGCTGTAACAAGCAGTGCTAACTCCAGGAGTGAGTTAACTCTCTTCCTGGTTTGAAATCAGCAAACTGTTTACTTAGCCACATAGATAGGCTTTCTCTCAGTCATGAGACCATTAACTACTCGGTGCCCAGCAGTGGGAGAGGATAAAGAAACACATGGTGTATAGAGAGGGGGCCCTCATATCTTTTAAAAGTATTTCTTCAAACTATCTAGAAATGACTTTTGAGCCTTGAGCCTCATTTTGGAAGGAATCATAATGGATCTTCCCCTTGAAACCTTTTGTTTATAGAGGGGTCATGTTAAATGATGTTCTTAAAAAAAAAAAAATTACTGGGTAACTGTCCCACCTCTGTCACCTTCTATCTCAATGTCTGATGATACAACATTTTTTGGTTGTTTTTTAATCCGCAGTTTTGTGCCAAACTGGATGTGTTCAGAAGCAGACCAACATTAAGTGCCAGCAAACACTTCCGAACTGAATTCCAAGTCCCCCATTTTGTTATCTAAAAATGGGCTTCATGGCGAAACAAAAAAGCAGAGCTTTAGATGAACAATCTGAGGCAAGGGAAAATGCTGCTCCTGCCTTTATAGCTCCTGTTTTATACTACCTCCTTGTAAAGTTATTCTAGTGTTATTTTTTTTTCCTGTACTCAGGGAACGTTTTGTTGCTTTTGAGCTGCCTCATGGAAGCATGGGCAAATTGACAGGGTATGGCGTTTTTTTGGTTCGTAAGTAGAAGTATGAGGGGCCAATTTTTATCAGTGTCTAAATTTAAGGAGTACAATGAGTTGGTTTTATTATTTTAAACTTTTGTTAAAAGGCAAACAAAATCTAAACTTGAAACCTTGTCCATCGTGATTATGGGAGATATGTCTAGGACTCTATGAATTTGAATCATTTTAAAAGCCTAAAGTGATGATCTGAAGTCCTTGAAGAGAGTATTTTGTTTGTTTTGTTTTTGATAAATAGGCCCATAGCAATTGTAGATCTTTAGGCTGTAACTATTTGCTAATTATTTACCAGTACATTTTTTACTCTTTCACCTTTTCATTTTGTTCTTATACAAGATTTTTTCATAATAATCCTGTTACCAAAGAATTTTCAGTAGAAAGTGGAAATTTGACTATGATTTCCCCCCAAGTTGAATTAACTAGAAACATGTATAGGTATAAAGCTTATACAGGTAGTTACTAACCCAGAATGATAGGGTTTATATTAATTGTTGTAGTTAAATAGACTAGTAATTTTAACTACCTTATTGTTACCAGAGCATTTAAAATAAGTTCTTCACCAGCAGATAGTTCCATAGAATTTCAGATTTTTTTTTTTCTTCAGCAAGTAGATCTTCAGCTATACAGTATTAAAGTATATTGAAATTGTTGAAACTACTTGCTGGAGAGAAAAAAAATCTTTTCACCAAAGATAAATATTTTGGTCTCATTGAAGTAAGATATTTAATGTACACCAAAGACTTCTTTTTACTTGGCCAAAGCTAGCTTCTTTGAAGTCTTAAGTATGAAATTGTAACTAAAATGTGAAGATTCTCATTTCTCTCTCCTAGTGGTGTTATGTCACGGTATTTCACTCCAAAGGGGCTAATATGCAAATAGTAACTATTTTCTTTCCCAAAGGTTTATTCTCTGTAAGTACTGATACGTGCATGTCATTTTTATGCCAAATATTACAAGATACTGCTCATCAGTATTTTCATACCAAAGACCATTAAAATGTATAGGTTAGCCTGTAAGTAAGTAAAGATGAGCAGATTTGAAATAAATTTATTTAGAGGCTGATAGGGAAACTAGCTTTAGTAGCAGAGATATCAAAGGGCTAAGTTTACATAATTAAAAGCAATACAGTTATATTGGTATTTATCAGTGTTTTAATTCAAGTACCTTTTATCAGCAAATTTATAAAAAACCAAAGATATTTAAGGTTACCTCCTCAGAGAGGCAGATTTAGTTATACATTAAACTGTTGTTTCTTGTTTTTATGTCAACCAGACTTGTCTCTCCAGAACCCAGTCTGTATACGAGTAGCATACGTAGGGACTTTCCATTAAATCTGCTGATTCAGCCACAGGATGTTTTTGCCAAATGATGTGATACTTTCCTAAGCACCTTGAGTGTGAGATGTCAACAGAAGTATCAGCAGGCTTTTCCATCGCAGAGCATTCTGGCAACCCCTGAATCAGCCTGCGTAGTCTTCCTCCTGCTTAAGCGTTACCTGGTTAACTCTGAGTGCTTTAGGCAGCCCCTTAATGAGAGGGATGTTCTCATCTCTGGGGAGCAATGGGATATAGCAGGGAAACAAACCATATCACTGTTTAAGTGGGCTGTACTTTGGTAGATGTGCTCTTTAAAATTATCCATAAGCTGAAATATTTTATTGCATCAAGGTGTTTCGAACTTTAGTGGAGCCTTAGGTGAAACAAAAATCTTTTTTATGAAATCTGGAGTTTTATGTTTTGATTAACCTAAAAGTAAGGACACAGTTTTATCCACTGATTGGCTTTAAAAAAAAATGAGCTTTGGCACACCAGGGAAATTAGATCCTCAATGAAATGCCTTTTATTTGCCTTTACTTCAAACAAGAGCAGTGCCACCATTGGGAACAGTGACAGTGGTTTGCATTGGTTTGTCTTGGCTTCGTTAAGGAATGTCTGCCAGGAATTTGCTCATGTTGACGACTCAGGATCCTTGTTCAGGTCCACATGAAGACAGCTTTGGAAATGATTCAGAGTGTCACAAAAAGATGGATTTGAAAGTTGTTTTTTTTTAAATGCTAGAATGTGGTTCCACCTCAGAAGTGGCTGTAGTGATTCACATATATTTATATTTCATTGAATGTAAATTTTTAATGCTGAATGTAAAAAAAAAAGTTTCAATATGTTGAGAGGGTCATGATCTGAGACTAAACATGTATTTTGTAGACTTTGTTCCTGACACATGGATAAAATTGCTTTGGTTGAGTACTCATGTTTTCTATGGGCTATGAGCACACCAGTAGAGGGTTCTGGAGAATCACCATACACAACCAGTTGTCTATTTGTGAATTTTATTGATGTTTAGAAGAACACATACATAGAATTCTCTGTGAAGTTGATTTATGCTCAGGACATAAGATCACAGGCTAATGCAATGTGTATGTTTTCAGGCTTTAATCTTCTCAGGCATTTTCCCTTCGTAAACCTTTAAAAGTGTTTAACATGACAGTCTTGCAGTTTTACCAGACAGATACTGTACTATTTTCTTACTGCTGCTATAATAAATTACCACAGAGTTGGCCTTAAAACAACACAAATTTATTTTCTTATAGTTCTGTAGGTAAGAAGTCTGACACAGGTCTCAATGAGATAAAATCAAGGTTCGTTTCCTTATCTTTTCTGGAGTTTAGAGCTGTAGACCCCTCCCTCTATCTTGAGAGTTGGTAACATAGCATCTCTCTGGCACCACTTCCATTACTCTGTCTGTTTTTCTGACCCCGACAAGGAAGGGTTCTCCAATGTTAAGGACTATGTGATTAGATTGGGCCCATCTGGGTGATCCAGGATACTCCCGCATCTGAAAAGTCCCTTTTGCTGTGTACAGTAACACATTCAGAGTTTAGGGATTTGGGCATGGACTTACGTGGGTGGCCATTATTTTGCCTACAAATTTCTGTAGAATTCTGATCCCCATAAAATGTCTGTAGCATTACAGAGATTGTATAAGTGTAAAACTGTGTGCCTCTAGGGGATCTTCAGAATTTCAAAAACTATGAAAACTTTGGCTTATTGCCTGTCAAATGTATACATTAAACTCTCTCTACATCACTTGCAAAAGCAATTCAGCTTTAAACTTTTTGAATACGTGCTTTGTAAATTAACATCTCAGTACTATTGTTTAATAGGAAGTTTCCTAAATATTTGGCTCTAACTTTATAGAATTTTGTCAGAAATTTTTGAAAACTGTTCTTATGAGAGTTGAGCTTTCTTCTTTTCTCTTAAGTGATTGTGTTGTTGGGGTAGGGTTGGGGAAAGACCTCAAACACAGGGACTCAGAGTAGATGAACAGGACTGTGCTTAAGTTTATTTTCTTTTAAAAGCATGTTTGCAACATGTACCCTTTTTGACTTTTAAATCGAGTTTATTTCTTCAGCTTCACCAGCTACCAACTGTTTGGTTTTTAGTTTATAACCTCTTGATTTTCTAACACCCTCAGCAAGAGCTTCCACTTACTTTGTCAACATGTACAACTCCTAGGAAATTTTCTTTCTTATCATTCTTCTTTGATTTCAATTGTCCCTTTTCCTAGAAAGCTTTAGATTCCACAGCTGTAGTTTGTTCTAATTTCTAGATCATTTTAAGTCAAGCCTTTTTTCAGATTCGAAGGATAGTTTATAATTCTACCCTAATTTTCAGACCATGATGATATTCTAAGGTTAAGAGTGCTGGTCACTTTTCAGCTACTTCTGTCTCTACTTCTTGGGAAGGAATAATGAATGCCATTTACAGAGCATATGTGACGTGCCCAGCACATGCTTCACCTCTGCAAACTGCTTCATTCTGCAAAGCAAGTATTATCCCCATTTTAGAGATCAGAAAACAGGTTTACAGTGTCTAATTTGCCAAAGATCACAGCTAGTAAGTGGCTAGTAAGATATAAACTGGAGTTGGTCCAACTCCAGCATTTATAGAATTTCTACTGTGATGCATTTTCTCAGCAAAGAAATGATCTTTATTACCTCAGCTCATAGTGCCTTCTGCTGTGTTAAGACAACCTGTCCACACAGGCATAGCCAATCACTAGAGAGAGATGTCTGTCTTCATTACGTCTGTTTATTCACAGGAGGAATTCAGGAGGCTGGGCGAAAACTCATTCCGTCACCTCCTAGCATCCCTCTTTCCTTCTTTGAAACCTTTCATTCTCTTAGCCAAAACTGTGTCTGAAGGCTGGTGCTTATGCCTAGAGTTGCATTAAATAAGGTGGGCATGGTTCTGGACTCCTTATCTATTCAAGCATTTCCTTATTAGACTAGGTGTTCAGAGTTGAATTTTATCTTTTGTAATTTTTCTCTAGTCCTCATATCCAAGTAGGCATTTATTAACTAGAAAAAGCCAGATGTGTAGCCAGTCATCCCTTCTGGCTAGATCTGAAGAGTATAGTTTTTATTGAATTCAACCTAATTAATTTAAGAGAGAGTGAAGTTGAGGGAGAATCATGTGGTAGAATAAGGTAAGTCTTTGAAGCACCTAAATTCTAGTCCTTGACCATTTTGAGAATTGTTTGGTAGGAAAATTACTAACCTATATCTGTTCCTTTTCTTTCCATGAAATGAGGATAATTTGTTGTGTAGAATGAAGCAGTAGTATTTTGAAAACTTTAAAGTATAAATAATTAAAATCCAAAAGTCATTTCTATGAGGCTGTGAAATATACCTTAACAGATTTTTTTTTTCTTTACAGGGCAGCCTTTCCAATTACATTTTGCCTGTGCTAAAATGAAAAATGTTTGCATTTCCTGTATATGCACAAAAAAAAACTAACAGAAGAAAGTGGTTGATAAAAGATGTAGACTGGGATTTAAACATTCATCTTCAATGTAGGTGAATCTATAAGAGGGGGATTTGCAGTGCTTTTGAAAGTACTAAACATGAAATCATCTTACCCTAATTTAAATCTTTCATCTTTTAATATCTTAGCTTTTAAAGATTTAAGGAGGGAGTCTAACATTCCCCGAGGGGTGGACAGAAGTACATTTTTAGAATTCTTCTCTAATAGATCTACTTTTTCAAGATTATAGAGCATTTCAACATTTCGTTAAACCATTTGGAATGAATTTTATATAGGGTAACACATGCTGGCATCTAATTCTAGTTAACTCAAGTTAACTTTTAAGGCTTATTGGGAGAATTATATGAGTATTGTCTTTTTTTAGAGAAAGTAAATGTTTTCCTTCACTTTTTCTTGAACCAGCCAGTATCACTCTTAGCATCATGCATGAGATTCTGAACACCTTTCCTGATTTACTCAAGTTTCCTATCTTGTAAGTAGTCGATGGTATGCAGACACAGTCCTAACTTACAAACTTTTTCTTTAAAAATTTATGTCACAGTAGTTTATTTTTCTATAGAACTATCTTTAAAAACAACAGAAATACTTGAAATGCTTACCTAAAACATTTTTCTCCCCATTACCACATTCTCTATATCTATTCCCTTTGCAAATGGAAATGATTAGCAGTGATTAGCAGTGTGAGCCTGTTTTAGAAATTTGCAAAGCCTGAATACACACACATTGATTGCCTTAGCCTATCAGTAGACTAGAGGACATATATTAAGTAAGTTTGTCTGTCTGTTGCTGTTGTTGGACAAAATTATCTGTGTACGCGTGATTTTTTTTCTTTGAAGATGTGAATTAAATGAAAGTGTGGGAGCCAGTTATATTATTTCGTATTATGGGTGTTCTGGATCCTTTCACTCTGTATACCATTTTCTTGTAAGGGTAGCATTTGCAGACTAGCTAATGGACTCCAGAGCTGAGCTATTTTAATTTTATACTTGACTCAGGGGATCAGCTCTGTGAACTCCATTGCATGAAGAAAGCAAATGTTTGCCTTGATTTTGAATGTACCTTTTTAATGTCTTCTTAAAACATATTTTGCTTAATAATGTGGGTTTGTTTTCTTTTTCTAGCATTATAGTAAATATTGCCTAGTATTCCCCCCCTCCCCAGGATAGTTTATATACTGTCCTACAGGTCATGCCAAAAATGAATAAAAGTTTAAATGCCAAAATGTTTATGAAACTGCTGTCTAAGTACTGATTGATTGCACAGTTTAAATAAAAGTTTTCCTTAGTTAAAAAAAAAGAGAAAAATAAATGTTTTCTTTTACTCTTCAGTTGTCCTTTGGGTGATAGGGAATGAAAACTATCAGTTTATAGAATGATGGCTTTCATATCCTGGAATGGGATGATTACAGAGTCTACTCCATGCTGTAGGAATAGAGCCTGTTTAAGGTACCTAAGAATTGTTTTCTTCTGGCATTTACTGAATAGCAGCAAGAAAACAACAATTTCCCCATTCCAGTAGATGATTGCTTACCTCAGGAACTAAATAGTAGGTAGCCTAAAAGCTATGGGTTCATCCAGATAGACACAGTTCTAATTCAGGTTAAAATGTTTGTATTTTAATATATAAAAACTGATAAAGAGATATTAAATGCCTTTCCTAAAAAATCTAGGAATAACAGGTAAGATGTGCCCCAAACAAGCTTTTTAAGATAGCTGAATTCTGTTGTTTTTTTTTTAACTTCCCAATTTGGGTAATGAAAGGGGAGCTGAAAAATAGAACAGTAACTTCTTGAAATGACATTGTGCTGACTCTGGAAGACATGAAAGAAAGAATTGAAACATAAGAGAACAAGAAACTCTATATTTAAAAAAGAAGAGGGGAGAGTATAGCTCAAGAGATAGAGCACATGCTTGGCACGCATGAGGTGCTGGGTTCAATCCCCAGTTCCTCCTCTAAGAATAAACAAACAAACAAACTTAATTACCTCCCCCACCAAAAAAAAAAAAGAGTGTGGCTGAGAGGCCACTTTAAAAAAAGAAGAACAAGTGCATTAGAAAAAGAAAGAAATAGAATTTCCAGAAATTAAAAATATATTTATAGTCATTGAACTCTTGAAAAATCTGTTAAATAGCACATCAACTACACTGAAAGAATGTTCTAAAACTGGAAGATAGACGTGAAGAAATTATCCAGGAATGCAGCACAGTAGATAAACAGAAAGTATAAAACAGAAAGTATAAAACAGAAATAAACAGAAGATTTAACATACATTTGACAGTCATTCTAAAATGAAAGAGTGAAGGATAAGCAATTTTCAAAGAGAATATGACTAAATAATGTATGAAATCCTCAGACTCAGGGAGCATAAACCTCAATCTAGAAATATAAAAACAAATTCACACCAAAATGTTTTAGTGAAATTACAGAACATCAAAGACAAAGATAACTTAAAGGCAGTTAGAGGGGAAAAAAAAAAAAAGATAGATTGTTCTAAGAAGATTTCTCAGTGACAAAAGAAGCAGGAAGATGGTGGGATGATACCTTCAAAACATTACAAAGAAAAATATCTCCAATATGGAGTTCTATACCTAGATAAGCTATAACAGAAACAAAACTGTCATTACATGCATGTGATGTGATTGCCTAACTGGAAATTTCAAGAAAAATCTGTAGAAAAGCTATTGGTCCAAAGAGAAGATCTAAGCAAGATTGCTGGGTATTAAGATCAAAATACAAAGTGCAGTTAAGAGTTCCCATTTGTCAGCAACAAACCCCTACAGTGTGTAATTTTAAAGAAAGGTATAATTTACCAAATCAACAATTAAGGATTAAAAGTATATCATAAAAACATGTGTAAGACTTCCACGGAGAAAATTATAAAACTATTGATGGACATGTCTGAAGAACTATTTTAAAAAGGAGAGAGCCCATGTTTATGGATAGGAATATTCACTGTCTTAAACATGTCCCTACCTCCAAATAAATCAATATATTTAAGGTAATTCAAATGAAAATCCTAATAAGGGTTTCTCATGGAAATTTCCATATGAAAAATATAATTTTGGTTGTGTACCTAATCTAAATGAACAAAGCCATAAATAAATGAACAAAACATTAAAGACCTGATTTTGAAAACCACATTAGAATTGTTCAGAAGAAAAAACATTTTTTTTTATGATGTCAGAATAGGCAAAGATTTCTCAAGGCACACATAACTAAAAGCAAAAACTGCAACTAAAAGTTGAACGATTCAACTGCATTAAAATGTACAGCCTCTCTATGACCAAAGACAACCCAAACAAAACTAAAAGCAGACCACATACTGGAAGAAGCTATGTACAAATATAAACCCCAAAGGATTTGTATCCAGACATTATAAAGAATTTCAAAAAAATCAAGAACAACTCAAGCCACACAATGGAAAAGTGGGCATGGATATAAACAGGCAATTCACAGAAAAGGAAATCAAATGACTTACAAACTACTGGGTAATCAAGGAAATGCATCTAAAACAGAGATAACCCTTCAAACCCATGATGCCGACACATGCAAAAAGTCTGATGTTGTAACAACTGTTGTCAAAAATAGGAAACCCTAAGGACCCTCAATCAATTCTAGTAGTAGTATAAACTGACGCAATTACTTTGAAAATCAATTTGGCACTGTCTAGAAATTGCATTTCTGGGTACCTATTCTAGGGAAAAACATGCACAAGGAAATATACAAATTTGTCCATGGCAGAACTATTTATCATGATGAAAATGTAGAAATAACCTGTCTTTCAGGAGGACAAGTTCAATAAACTTGTTTAATTAAATGATGGTGTTATACAGTAGGTAAAAAACTACTTACACTCTCATATACCAAGATTTACTATAAAACTGCAATATGACAGTATGTTATTGGTGCAAGGACAGATGGAACAAAAGAGAGGACAGAAGAAGACTCATGTATATCGATACCCAGTTTATGCCAAAAGTGCAAGTAAATTCAATAAAATTTAAAATATAAGAAAATTAAGTAGCTTTCTTTTTTATTTATTAAAAATTATCACTTGGTCAAGGCAACAAGCAAATATGTAATTTTTTAATGTTCCAGTTAACAGGAACAGCATACAAATATTAAAAGAATTTTTAAAAAGTGGAAAAGATACGCAAGACTAGTATCAGTAATTTTTATCCAGCTACTAGCTACCTTCCCCACGGGGGTCTTCAACACAGAGATTCTCATAGAACTCTTCATTAGGATTCAGTTTCTCTATAAGAAACAAACAAAAAGAAAATAGCAGTGACTTGAACAGAACAGAAGTTTATCTCGTCAAGAAAACTGGAGGCTGTCAGTGCAAATCTGGTCAGAGACTCAACAGGATCAGAATGCATGATAGTCAAAAGTGTCTGCTGGAGCCACGTTGTTATATTCACGTTCTATTCCACCAACATAAAGGAAAGAAGGGAATGGCTCCTACTTTAAGGATACTTACATGCCATTGCACAGAACTTAGTCATGCATTATACGTTTCTGCAAGAAAGGCTGGAAAATGCAGTCTTCATTCTGAGCAGCCATTTCCCTGCATCGCACCCCTCAAACACAGAGTTCTGTTACTGAGAAAGAAAGGGAGAAAGGCAGGTAAGGATGGAGAGGAAGGCAGGTTACATGGAGACAACTTGCAGTCTCTGTCACATCCTCAAAGCACTGCAAATCATGTAATGAGAGAAACTGTTGATAGTAGGATAAATACTGCGGATGTGGATGGGATTGAGGCAGAAAAAAATGGTTGAGAACCACTGACCTAGAGGAAGAGGAAAATAAGAACGACTTACTGAAGGAGATATAAATCAATTCAACTTTTTATAGGGCAATTTCACAAGAAAATAAAAAAGTGTACAGATAAGGCTTATGTACAAGGACGTTGACTAATGTTTGTAATATGAAAAATAGAAACATTCTAAGTGTCCCGTCAATAGAGATTGAAAAACTAAATGACAGTACATCCATATAATGGGATATTATGGTGCCATGAAAAGGAATATGGCAGATCTTTATTCCTTGATGGGTAAACAAACCTCTGAAATACAATCAAGTTTATACAAGTATGTAGAATTTGATTCTATTTAAAAAATAGAGTCTAAATATAATATCAAGCATCTATATAGCACTGAGCTACCATCCTAAGCACTTTATGTCCAGTAACTCATTTAATCTTCACAATAGCCCTATGAACTGAAGCTATTGTCCCTATTTTGCAGATGAAGACACTGAGGCACAGAAAGTTCAAGGAACTTTCCCAGGCTTATGCAACTAATAAGCCTTGAAGCAGTTCTTGAAGTCAGGCAGCCTAGATCCAGGTATCTGAATACTTAACCAGTTTACATACTGATTCTTTTCTACATATATTTACACATATATTCATATTCAGATCAATATAAACTAAAGGAAATCAATAATTAGGAAGATTTAACCTTTTGTTCTATTTGGCCTTCCCTGACTTCCTCCAATCTGACCCTTCTCCTTCTCACCCTTCCGTCACCTCCAGTTGCCTCCAGCTCAGCCTTTTGAGAAATATCTACTAATTTTTGTGTAAGGTATAAATTGATTATAAGCTGTTAGAGCTAGGTAATATACATTGTAATGGATAACTCTTCAAAACCAACACAGTCTTAAAATCCAAAAGCACGGTAGAGAGACAGCAAAATAATAGTGGAGCAACAATTGGTGAGGTCGACGTGTTGGGAAAATAGAGCCTGACTAAAATTCACTCCAATGAATGATCATATACTCTCCAACTGTCCATATATGTATACATGAATGCGTATGGTTGTAATCTGTATGCATTGCTAATACAATTTTGAAATTAGAAATGAAAACCGTGCTTTCACCTTCTGCTTTTTTGTAACAAAAGTCATAATTAAAATGGGAACTCTGGGAGCTAGAGTTCTCACTTTAGGAGAAGAAAGATAGAAAGAGGGAAGGGGTAAAGGCAGAAAAAAAACGTGAAATTGGTCTGAAATTAGAGGTATTCATATATATTGGTATAAATTCATGATTTAATATACTAAGTTGAACTATATGAAATTGAATCCCCCCCACCAAATCTATGAGCAGTGACACTTCAGTTGAGATGAACACACCAAGCACTCAGTGTTTGTTTTCTGAATATTACTTCCCACTAAAAGGAAACAGGGCTCCTTGTGGGAAATTGCTAATCCCAGGGCTGGAGCAGAGACAGTTAATTTTGGATCCTGGAACATCTTGTTGTGTCAGAAAGTAAGGAATTTCTAAAAGAATTATGGGATGTG